AAAAAAAGAAAAAAAACAAAAGGAATGAAAGGAGAAGGAGAAGCGGCTGCGCCGCTTCTCCTTTGTTTATATGTATTGTTTTTGGTGTTGTCTTCATGGGTGGGGGGGGGGCGCCGCTTCTCATTTTTTTCCATGGTGGGGGGTTTGGGGGGGGGCTGTTTTCAACGTTTCTGCCGCGATCCGCAAAACGAACTTGGCAGGAAGCCACGGCCGTCGAAAAATCCTATTATAGATTTTGTTTTTTTCCGATATTGTCGCTGTAAATTGCTGACAAAAGCGCCATTGGGCGTTATATGGTACATATCGGAGACAGAACCCGCGCGCGATGAACGCTTCACGTGCCATCTTGCAACCCAGGGGCGCGCAATCCACACCTTTTCCGTGCCCGAGTCGACGCGGCGGGAGAGCCATCGAGACGAACATGGGGCCACATGGAAACGATGCGAACTTCATTGGCGCCCAATCCGCACCGAACCGATGGCTGCCCGCAGTGGCGCGGCGCACCTGCGCTGCCCCCGGCGCGCGCCGGCGTCTCCATCGCTGTTCCTGCGCGCGACGACGGAAATCAGGATGGCCCCGGAGAACCATTTGGTGAACGCATGGGCACCCGAGCGGCCCCGATCCTCGTCGCGCGCAAAAACATCGCCACGCGACGCGCGCGGGGCCGCGCCATCCGCCCGCGGGCCTCCCGCGCGCCATGTCGGCAAGCTCTGCAAGTAGCGTGTCTGGGGGCCCTCCGCGCGCCGCGCCAACTACCAGCTACAGACGCCGCCCGAGGAACGCGGGTTGTCCGACTTTCGGCCAGAGCCCGCTGGAAACGGGCGGTCGGGCGCGCACTCTGCGCACATTTCTCCTGCGGCGTTGCGCGCGCGGCGGCCGCCCTCGCGCTCGCAGCGGCCCCCGCGAGCCCCCCCCCGCGGGCGCGCGACGCCTCGGCCCGCCCTGCAACGGGAGAGCCGTCGAGACGAACGGGAGAGCCATCCAGACGAACATGGGGCCACATGGAACCAGTGCGAACTCCATTGGCGCCCAATCCGCATCGAACCGATGGCTGCCCGCAGTGACGCGGCGCACCTGCGCTGCCCCCGGCGTTGCGGGACTTGCGGGGCTTGGGGGGGCGCGCGGGACGTGCGTAAGTCCTGGCAGAGACAATGCGGAAGCGAAGTGGTGGACCCCTGCAAGCACCGATCATGGGCCAGATGGCATCGCGTCGTCATTCCGTACAATTGCAGTGGATCGCACGGGCGCGCCCGCCCCCCAGGCAGGCCGTCGAAGTCGACGTTGCGAGGCGCGACGGGAACGCCGCTGTCAGGGGGGGATGCAAGATGATGATACAGTGCGGCACGTCCTATCGGGATTGCCAGACTCGCGCCGAAAAGCCCCCCCCCCCGCCCGAGGAACGCGGGTTGTCCGACTTTATGGCCAGAGCCCGCTGGAAACGGGCGGTCGGGCGCGCACTCTGCGCGCATTTATCCAGCGGCGTTGCGCGCGCGGCGGCCGCCCTCGCGCCCGCAGCGGCGCCCGCGAGCCCCCCCCGCTGGCGCGCGACGCCTCAGCCCGCTCTGCACTCAGCGCGCCCGGGGGGCCCCAGCGCGCCGCGCGCACGCGCGCGCCGCGGGGCGGCGCGCAGCCGTGCGAACCATGGCTCAAGACGCGCGCTGCGGCCCTGACCCGCCCCCCTGCGGCCACGCGGGAAATGGTGCGACCTCCAATTCGGACGTGCCAGACCTGCGACACCCGTGGGACATGGGGGATCTACATGCACATCGCGTGTCCGGGGATCCCTGGCGCGCCGCGTGCGCCGCGCGCTGGAACTGCAAGGGCTGCGGGACGTGAGGGACCTGCCTGAACTGTGGGCCCCTTGTAGTGGGCCCCCTGGGGGTTGTGGGACAGGCGAGACCTGTGGGGGGCTAGTAAGTGGGATCTGTGGGACCCAGACGTAGGAGACCAATGGGACCTGTGGGAGCTGTTGGGCCTGTGGGACCTGTGGGACCTGGGAGACCTACCTGCACTTAGCGTGTCTGGGGACCCCCGTCGCGCCGAGCACGCCATCCGGAGGACCCTGCAGGACCTGCGGAGCCGGGGGGGACTGTGGGACTAATGGGCTCTCTGGGACCTGTGAGATCTGCGGGACATGTGGGACTAATATGTGGGACCTGTGGGACCTGGGAGAACAATGGGACCTGTGGGACCCGTGGTACTTGTACCTCTGGGGCCTGCGCGATCTGCGACACCAATGCGACATGTGGGACCGGTGGCACCTGTGGGAGCAGCGGGACCTGCGACACCTGTGGGCTCTGGGGGGGGGTACCAGCGCTTAGCGCGTCTGGGGGCTCCTGGCGCGCCGCGCGCGCCGTCCGTCGGAAATGTGGGACCTGCGGGACTTGCGGGACCTGGGGGACGTGCGGGACTAGCAGCAGCTCCGATCGGGTCCAAGTCCTGCGGGACTTGGGAGACCGTGGGACGGGTGGTCTGTCCCCGTGGGACCTGCGGGACTAGTGGGGCCTGAGAAACCTGTGGACCCTGGAAGACCTCTACGACCATTGGGGCCTGCGGGACCTGTGGGACCTGTGGGTCATGCGAGACCTGCGAGACCTCCGACACCTGTGCGACATTTGGGGCGTGTGGGGCCTGTGGGAGGGACCTGTGGAACCTGCGAGACCTGCGACACATGTGGGACCTGGGGGGCATACCTGCACTTAGCGTGTCTGGGGATCCTGCGGGGCCTCTGGGGGGGCGCCTGGGACTGGTGGGATCTGCGGGACCTGGGAGTCCTATGGGGCCTGTGGGACCCGGGGGACCGGTGGGTCCTGCGAGACCTGCGAAACCTCCGACACCTGCGCGACATGTGGAGCGTTTGGGACCTGTGGGACCTGCTGCACCTGTGGGACCTGGGGGATCTACCTGGACTTATCGTGCCTGTAAACCCCCGGCGCATCGTGCGCGCCGTCCGCTGCACATGTCGGACTTGTGGGTCCTGTGCAACCTGTGGAACTACGGGACATTGTGCAACCTGTGAAACTATTGAGATCTGAAGGCCCCGTGGGCCTGGGGGGCCGTGGACTGTGGGACCTGCGGGACCAGTGGGACCTGCGGGACGGGACCTGTGGGACGTGCGGGACTTCTGAAACCTGCTAGACCTGCGACGGCAGTGCGACATGTTGGGCCTCCCGACTTGGACTACGGCTCAAAGTCTACCGAGATTAGCCGGCGATGAGACTAAACATGCACACCTAATCTACCAACGAACTTTCGTACAAACGTCGAGCATTCTGCCAACGCGGCGGCCGCATGATCCCTCTCCCTGCCATCATCATCCCTCCCCCAGCCCCGAAAGGACATACACGCTAAGTACCACCACTAAGGATACACGCTAAGTGCGGAGCACTTAGCGTGTATGGGCGTCTCCCCAAAGACACGCTATATATCGGACCTTGACCGTAGACTGTGGTGCCGGACGCACTGCGGCAGTGCCAGGAACGCACTGAGGGGGGGAGCGTTACGTGATGGGAGGGGGGGAGAGGGCAGGGGGCATGACGCGCGTTATGGCCCAGAGAGTATAAAAAACTCTCTATAAGAAGGACCGACGATAAGGATGCAAGGGCCTTGGAAGGCCATGTCGACACTTGGCGAGCGGGGCGCAGCCAGCGAGAGCGGCCGAAAGTGGGCCGAAAGGAAAGGATGCAAGGGGTAACCTTGAAAAGTCGCTCATCCGTACTATGCGGGTTGACTGTACCCTGAAGGCGCTGAGCGCCGAGAAGTTCCCTTGCGGGGTGGCTTGGTCGGCCAAAGGGGGCCCAATGCCCTGCGAGAAGGGGGCGTCCAAGGGGCGGGGAAGGGGTCGCAGCATGGTCCGAGGCATGGGCGCAGGGGTGCGCGGCCGAGGGGGGGGGTCAGGGGACGCATTGCGAGCCTACGCGTCCGGCGTCTCGGTTTTTTCGAAACGTGGGCCCCTGACCTCTCGCCCACTTCCCAGGGACCGGTGTCTCACCCCGAGTCGTTTTTTGACGTGCAGGGCCCCGAGAAGCCGAAAGAATGAAAAACCTTCGTCTCGATGTTTTCCAGACGCCAGGATGCCTGGAGGAATCGTAGGGGACCATGACATCTGGGGGAATATCACAGCCCTGGCCAAGACACGGTCAGGAACGTTTGCTCGGCGTGCCGTGGCGCCGGCTCTGGCGGCACGCAGCGCCCCGCGAGCGGACGGCGTCTCGCTCCGCTCCGCGGATCGGGCTGTCGGGGAAGGCTCGCGACGTCGACGCCTGGGGACTGGGACGTGGATGGCGTGTCGCGCCGCTGGGCCAGGACCGGCGGCGCGACAGGCTGGGCCAGTGCTCCTGACCGCATCCCCCTTCCCCCTAATTACAGTCGGGGCGTTGACCCAAGGAACCCGAAATAAGGAACGCGGCCCCCTTCTTTCCATGAGTTACACTTCGATCTCCCATCGAAAACCTGGGGAAAACACAAGGGAAGCTGTGAAGCAATCAAGGCACACGGAGCCCCTCCCCAACGAAAAGGGTTCCTTCTTCAGGACCCCAACTGTACGTACCCAGACCCCCCACGTCCGAAATTCTTTCATAGCGTCGACCCCCAGGGGTCTCGACCCATTCCCCGGGACCGGCTTTCCATCCTGAGTAATTTTTCGAGGGCCCCGAGGACTGGGAAGGGCTCCCAGACGAAGCAAATCGTGAAAAACTGTCCGTCGCGATTTCTTCATGACTCGAGCGGGCTTGGGTAACGCTCACCCACCTCCTGGCCCTCCCCGATCGGTCCGAAGTCCGCTCCCTGGGGGAAGCGCACCAGAACTCGGGCCGGCTCGCCGCGCGCGGGCCCCCGCGCGATGCCTCCGGCGGCCTCCAAATCATTCATCGTCAATCGCCGTGATCGTCGTCGTCGTCGTAGATCGTCGATCGCCGTTGGCCGTCCTCGTCGAAGATCGCCGATCGTCGATCACTGAGGGTCGGCGGCGTCTCTCCGCGCGGGGGCGCCCGCGAGATAGCTGCCGAGGGCCCACCTGGCCAGCCAGCGCAAGTGGAGCTGGCGCGAGAAGGGGCCCCGAAGCGCCCAGGCAAGGCCGCAGGCCTGCACCACCCCGAAGGCCAGCCCCAGCAACCTGGCCTCGCGGTACGTGGAGGGGGGGTCTTATACAAAGGCACGGCCTTGTCCTAATTGTGCACGACAATTTTCCTTATTTCGAACTGTCGCTCCTCCTCCTCCTCCTCGTCCTCCTCCTCCTCCTCCTCCTCCTCATCGTGCCCGCCGTGGTCCCGTGATAACGACGAAGACGACGACGACGACGCTGACGACGACGACGACGACGACGACGACGACGACGACGACGACGACGACGACGAGGCATCGGGGGCGCATGGGGGCTCTGCGGCACTTCGAGGAGGCTCTCATCGAGACCCTCGGGCGTCTCCTGTGGAGGCCCTTGCGGCCACGGCTGGGAGCAGCCCGAGGAGCACGGGAGGGGTCCGTGCATCGGTTTTCAACAAGTTCTGTCCGACCGCCCCGCGCCGTGCAACAACAATTGACCTTGTTCTTTTGTACATAGTTGGCCTCAAGGGGGGGGCCTTTCCAGGGCCCCGCGGGACCGTCAACAAAAACAGCTCGGGGTGAAAAGGGTACTACGGCAGATGGTGAATTCAGCTCGACCGTGTTTGGATGGGGCAGAGGAGGAGTGAAGACGAGGACGAGGATAGGAGGAGGAGGAAGAGGAGGAGGAGGAAGAGGAGGAACGCACGCAGATGGATGAGGACGAGGAGCACAAGGAGGAAAAGGAGGAAGAGGAGAAGGAGAGAGGGAGGGAGGGAGGAAAAACAACAACTTGGCGACGCCCTGGGTGCACTGGGGGGTCGCTAGCCCTGGTCACTTTCTGGTCCCCCCGGGCAGCCAGCCGGCCCACCAGCGTGCCGGAGCCGCGGCCGTACCTTTGCCCCGCCCCTCCCCCTCCCTCCTCCTCCTCCTCCTCCTCTTCTTCGTCCCCCTCCTTCTCCTCCTGCTCCTCCTCCTCCTCCTCCTCCTCCTCCTCCTCCTCCTCCTCCTCCTCCTCCTCCCACCTCCTCCTGCTCCAACCTCCTCCTCCTCCTCCCCCACCTCCCTCTACTCCTCCCTGTCCTTCTCCCGCGTCCCTCGTGAGGGCGGTCAGCTTACAAAATATGACTCGCCTCAGCACCGCGCCCACTCGTTTAAACATTTGTAAGAGCTTCACGGATGTATGGCGGTCGTTTTCAAAATGTGGCTCTCGCCTTAGCGCCGCGCACACTCGTTTTAAAAGTTCGCAGATGTTTCTCGGATGGAAGGCGGTTCCTTTTTCAAAAGGTGGTTTTCGCATTAGCGCCGCGCACATTTGTCTTCAGAGCTTCCCGAATTCGCAAGCACTCCCATGCTTAACGTCCCCCCCAAAAGTGTTTTAGCACGATATTAACATGTCAGGGCGCAACGCTCACGTAGATTCGCGGTGCTGTCGTCCCAGGAATGGTGTTCTGGTACGATTCAGGATCGACAAGACACAACATTAACGGTGATTCGCGGCATTGAAATCCCAGGGATGGCTTTCTGGGACAGCTCCAGATGTTCAAACGGTTGTCTTCCAACGGGGCATTTCCCTCAGTGAAAATGAATCCGTGCCGGGGCCTATGAAGAGGGAAGTTGGAGGGAGGATGTATCGCAATATCGTTGACGAGTCTTGGGTTTGCGCTGGTCCTCCTCATCCTCCTCCTGGCCCCCCTCCCTCCTCCTGTATCCTCCTCCATTCTGTCATTATTCTCATAAATTCCTCCCCCCCTAGCGAATCACTTCAACTTGTCGCGTCGCCAAGCGCCAAGCGCGTCGTCTGGGCGGGCGGGGCGTATCGCCTGATACTTCCTCGGGGCTCACGATCTTGAAGCTTGAGAATTCCCAGCAGTTATACGGATGGAAGGCGGGTCGAAAACCAAATGCGGTTCTGGTCTTGGCGCCGCGTACATTCGTCTTAAATGAAATCGTCAGTCCAAAGGATGGTGTGCCGAACGAAAAAACGATTATCGCCAGGGCGCCGCGCACGCGTTTCGTAAATGAACAGCGGCTACACAAATGGAAGGCAATTCATTTTCAGAATTAGACTCTCGTGTTGGCGCCGCGCGCATATGTTTCACATGTTTTGACCGATACACGGGAAGAAGAGCGGCTCCTTGTAAAACAAATGCCTTCGCGTAAGACTGTCGCAACAACTGTTACCAGAACAATATGCGCACATGCGGAATACCGGAACAGCAAAGCCTGGCAATACGTGGGGGATTTTTCCTTTTCAACGCTGCACCCAATCCGCCTTCAGGATGGACGCTTCGCGAGGGGCCTAGGGTAAAGATCAAACGCCATGCGGCGCACGGCATGGTGGCCTTCGGGAGTTGCGCTATGGGGACGGCGGAACTAGGTCACGAAGGCGTTTGCTTTGCGGACCCCTCAATCCCGCCTCTGCGGAGGCGGCGTTGCAGGGGAGGCGCCCATGCCCCCCCTGGGGTGTGGGCGACCATCCAGCAACGCCGAAAAGCATCGATGTGCACATTACTTTGAGATTCGCTGGCGCCGACGGGCGAAGGAGGCGGAGAAACTTTGTCCCGGCCGCGCGGCCGACGTCAAAACGTACCTTACCCAGCTTCGGCCTGTCGGTCGGCGGAAGTCGGGGCAACCCCTGAACGGCCCCGAATGCCCGCCGAGAGACGTGCCGCGGGGAAGAAGGAGGACGCTGATGGGGGCACGTTAGAGGCGCATCTTCCCAAGGCGGAGGGCCCCGAGAGGTCACTGCAAACGGCCCGTGGCGTCAGAGGTACGTGACGAGAGATGTCATGAGCCAGCGTTCTCTCGAGGCGCAGCAACACATTGCATGCAACGCCTCCCCAGCAACCTGAGCTCAGCCGACAGCCGCGAATAATGGGGTCGTCGCGGAGAAGGGCATGCCCAACAACGAGTGTTGGGAGGTCGGAGCGCATGTCACCGATTGAGATGCGAAGCGCGCGTGTCGATCCCTGTTGCAGCGACGGATGCAACTGAAGAACAACATAACCATCTCCGAAGACAAACCGCGCGTGGTACCCGCCGATGGCGTGGCACTTCCCCTGTGCCCTTGCTCTTCGCTCTTCCCAGTATGATCACACCACACGGAAGTTCAGACTAGACGGACCGATGGTCAGCGCTCACCATACCGACGCGGAACGACCAACAGAAATGCACCATACCATCGTCGCAACAATAACGCCCAAACATGTGCTCGACCAAAAACTTTGCTCCAATGGTTGCGCAACCGAAGGCGAAGTTGCCCAGAGCGGAAAAGACGCGGTTTGCCACGGTTGCGAGGACGAAAGTGCCCACGGTCGTAGGCGAAGACATGATTACCCTCGGTGATCGCAACATTCTGCTTCTCGCACCAGGTCGTCGAGGCGTTGCTGGATCCAGTGGCGGCACTAACACGCGGCGCAGGGAAGCCGTTGCGCACGATCGGATGAGAATCGCGACCCCCAGCTCGGAAAACAGGGCGGTCAGTGAACCTTGAACCGATTAGGCTTTTGATTGCTACTCCCGCCAATTTCAGCCGACCTTCCGCTGGCGGAGCCGCCCTCGTTCCATTCCCGCCGCATTCCGCCAACCTTCCGCCGCCTTCCGCCGAAGAAGAGATGGCAACTCCTTCGATCCTCGAAGGCGAGGTCCATTCTAGAACGCGAAGTCTATATCATCTATATATATGTATGTATCGGAAGTTGGGAGGTGAGTCCGACGTGAAACGGAGACCCCCCCGACCGGGAAATCGATTTTGGTTTCGGGTTCATGTCGTGAGAGCCGTGCGTGCGTGCGGGGGAGAGGAAATCCTCCCGTGGACGGGCCGCGGCCGGACCAAATGTAACTCCTCCAGCGGCCGGTGCCCCGCGGTTTCCCGCCGGTGTCCCGCGGGTGTCCCGTGGTGTGCCGTGGTGTCCCGTGGTGTCCCGTTGAGTGAGATCGATCGAGAGATCGCTGGTGAGATAGATATTGAGATCGATGTGGCGCCCCGTGGTGTCCCGTTGAGTGAGATCGATCGCGAGATCGACAGGTGTCCCGTGGTGTCCCGTGGTGTCCCGTGGCGTCCGGTTGAGTGAGATCGATACTGAGATCGATGTGGTGCCCCGAGGTGTCCCGTGGTGTTCCGCTGAGTGAGATCGATAGTAACATCGATCGTGAGATCGACAGGTGTCCCGAGGTGTCCCGTTGAGTGAGATCGATAGTGAGTTCGATCGTGAGATCGATAGTGAGATCGATGTGGTGTCCCGCCGGTGTCCCGTGGTGTCCTATGGTGTCCCGCTGAGTGAGATCGATAGTGAGATCGATAGCGAGACCGATAGTGAAATCGAGAGGTGTCCCGCGGTGTCCCGTGGTGTCCCGTTGAGTGAGATCGATAGTGAGATCGATAGTGAGATCGACAGGTGTCCCGTGGTGTCCCGCGTTGTCCCGCCGGTGTCCCGTGGTGTCCCGTTGAGTGAGATCGATAGTGAGATCGATACTGAGATCGATGTGGTGACCCGAGGTGTCCCGTGGTGTCTCGTGGTGTCCTGTTGAGTGAGATCGATAGTGAGGTTGATAGTGAGATCGACAGGTGTCCCGTGGTGTCCCGTGGTGTCCCGCTGAGTGAGATCGATCGTGAGATCGATACTGAGATCGATGTGGTGCCCCATGGTGTCCCGTGGTGTCCCGCTGAGTGAGATCGATCGTGCAAACGCTCGAAAGGGCGAAGGGGCACGGCAGATCGAAGGGGCACGGCAGATCGAGGATCTACTGACCCAGGTCAATGCAAACCCTGGCCAATCGGGCGTTGCAAGATTCTGCGAAAGCCTGCAGGATCCTGCAAAATACTGTTGCGCGCTAGCCAGGGCAAATGCAACCCTGGCTTTACAAGATCCCGCAAGATCCGGCCCTCTGCTGACCGCATCCTGCATCGACCCGAGGGGGAGGGGGGGGCGGAAAGCAGGAGCAGCAGGAACAAAAGGAGAGGTTGCTGGGAATTCCGGTGACACCGACCGAGATCGTCCACAGCAGAAAGAGGTGGCCGCACACACACACAGACCTGTGGAATTCCTCCTCCTCCTCCTCCTCCTCCTCCTCCTCCTCCTCCTCCTCATTCCTCCTGCCTCCTTCTTCCTCCCTCAACGCTCCACCTTTCTCCCTGGCGCGTGGCCGCGGCGCACCAAATGGGCCCTGACCACGGCGAGAATGGCGTTGACCTCCTCAGGAATGAGCGCCCTCCCTCCTTCCTCCCTCCTCCCTCCTCTCTCCTTCCTCCCTCTCCTCGTCCCCGCACTCGATGGCCATCTGGCTGGCTGGGGCCCAGCTCGCGAGGGCGCAGCTCAGCGCGAAGATCAGCAGTCCTCCAGGGCGTACGGTCAGCGTGCTACCATAGGAAACGCACAAAAAGGAGCGAAGGGGCTTATCTGGCCATGTCTGCCTAGACCACAAGCTTAGTGGCTCCGCGACTTGAATTTAAGGAGCGGCTCAAAAAAGCGAGCCCCCCCTGAGCCAATAGAAATCCTTGTTTCAACGTCTTGACTGTCCAATAGCGGGGGGTGGAGGACGGGCAGGAAGGAGGCGAGAGGAGCAATACGATAATCGGGAAGACACGAGTTTGAACGTTCTTAGACCGGGCTGGGCTTCCAGAAGCCTCTGGGGACCTATGGAGATTCCCCTCACCACGCTTTCCAGGACAGGTCTGGGGGTCCACGTGGACGCACAGGACCTGGAGGAGGGAGGAGGAAGAGGTGAATATTTTGGACTGCTTGGAATGACTGGCATAACTTTGGATTGCTTGAGAACAGGGAGGAAGGCGGAGAACAAACATCATCCTACTGCTGCTCCTCCTCATCCTCCTTCACCTTCTCCTGTTCATCATCCTTCTCCTTTCTCTGTCATCCGTAATCCTCCCCATCATCGTCATAATATTTCTCCTCGCAACCACCACCTTTGTCACTCCTCAACATCACCATCAGAACAGCCATCGTCATCACCAACACGATCGCCACATCCACCAGCACAATAATCATCATGTTCACCATCATCGGCAACAACGATACCAGCATCATCACCACCATCATTACCATCAACAGCATCAACATCATCATCGTCATCGCCGTTATCGCCACCACCACCATCACCATCAGCATCAGCATCAGCACTACAATCATCATCATCGTCATCGTCATCATCATCATCATCATCATCATCATCATCATCATCATCATCATCATCATCATCATCATCATCTTCATCGTGAGCAGCAGCAGCAGCAGCACCATAATCATCATCATCGTCATCATCATCAACACCATCATCATCATCACCATCATCATCACCATCATCCCAAACATCATCATTACCATCATCGACAGCATCATCATAATCAGTATCAACATCAGTATCATCATCATCTTCCTCGTCGTTGTCAGTATCGTACTCATCAGCAATATCATCATCAGCATCATCAGCATCATCAGCGTCATTCTCATCATCACGTATATCGTCGAAGTCGTCGTCGGCGGCGGTGGCTTGTTCGTCGTCATTCCCCCTCCTACTCCTCATTTTCCTTTAAGGGCGGAGAGGGGAACGGATCGGAGGCAGTGAAGAGGGAGGCAGGGAGGGGGAAGAAGGGAAGGGGATGGAGAGCGGGACGAAGAAAGACTGGGAGGCCGGCGAGGTGGAAAGGGAGGGGAGGGAGGATGGAGGGAGAGAACTAGCGAGCGCCCATCTGGGCCCACTGCAGGGCGGGTATGGTCGCGCGCATTTGGGCGGGACGGGAAGGGCCGTAGCGCCTGGAAAATACGTATAAAAATTACCTCACGCCGCGTGCACGCACCGAGCCTCCATTCCGCCATTCTGTAATACTTGACGCGAGTTATATCCAGGTGGTGTCGTAGAATAGGTGGACAAGGTCTGCTAGTGGACTGTCGCCATAGAAGTGGTCGTCGTCTCAACGCTTCTGCTGGCCACCACGATCGCGATACACTGTTTTTCAATGGGAAAGTCAAGTGCCACTGTAAAGCTCTAAGCGGCCTCATGCACCGCCAACCTCTAATGCAACCGCCGCTGCTCTGTCTCCCAATCCATCCGTGACTTTCTGCATCTGCATTAGATGTTCCACTCGATGTGTCGAGCGTCGATTCTAATCAACCCGAAAACCTGCACAATCTTAGTCGCCGACGCTGCCGCTATCGACCGTGCTTGGTGGAGGGTCTGCACATGGTGATGGATTGCTGTCGATGTCCGAGTTGCGGGTGGTGCTCGGTTGGACGGTTGCGGGGCTGCTTGACGTGGACTGACCCTGAACAGCCGCAGGGGCATCTTGATAAGAAGCGCAGACGTCGGAAGAGCGTTCGTACTGGTCCTTGAGTCGTCGCATTCGGAAGCGCGTCGCATTCGGAAGGGCATCACGGCAAGAGGACTGATGGAAACAGACATATATATATACATATCGACATAGAAACACTGAAGAGAGAGAGAGAGAGAGAAAGAGAAAGAGAAAGAGAAAGAGAGAGAGAGAGAGAGAGAACAAAGAAAGAGAGAGAGAGAGAGAGAACGCAGTGGAGAGAGGGAAGGAGGAGCAAGAAGATGAGACGGAGGATGAGGGAGCGGAGGGACAGAGCGGAGACGGGAGGGAGGGAGGGGGAGAAGGGCGAGGAAGGAGAAGGCGGACGATGTGAAGACGGAGGATGACCAGCGGGAGATGGATGAGGAAATGGAGGAGGGAAGGGATGAGGAGCGGAGGAGTAATAAGGAATGAAGAACACGAGAAGTGAGGGGCGAGAACAAAACGGAACAGGGCAGGATAGGCGCGGCGAGGAGATGAACGGAGATCAGATGAGACGCAAGGAGGAGGGATCATAAGATAGGGGAGAGGAGAGGAGAGAGGACACAAAAAGAAATGAAGCTGCGAGATACATTAGCCTGGAGAAAGACCCAACCATATGCAGTTGTGAGTACCGCAGTTGTGAATATCTTCTTCGGTGGAGCTCCCTATGGGGCCACGAAACGCTGCACTGGGTGGGTGAAACACAGGGAGCAAAGGCCGTGTTGGGTGGTGGCGGGCGCATGCGGGCGGTGCCACTGGGACCTTCCGTGGAGCTCCCTATGGGGCCACGAAACGCTGCACTGGGTGGGTGAAACGCAGGGAGCAAAGGCAGTGCTGGGTGGTGGCGGACGCATGGGTGCGGTGTCACTGGGACCTTCGGTGAAGCCCCCAAAAGGGCAACGAAACGCTGTACTGGGTTGGTGAATCGCAGGGAGCAAGGGCTGTGCTCGGTGTTGGCGGACGCATGCGGGCGGTGCCACTGGTACCTTCGGTGGGGCCTCCGTTATGGGGCCACGAAGCGCTGTACTAGGTGGGTGAAACGAAGGGGGCAATTGCTGTACTGGGTGGTGGCGGACGCATGCGGGCGGTGCCACTGGGACCTTCGGTGGAGCTCCCTATGGGGCCACGAAACGCTATACTGGGTGGGTGAAACGCAGGGAACAAAAGCTGTACTGGGTGGTGGCGGACGCATGCGGGCGGTGCCAGTGGGACCTTTCGTGAAGCTCCCTATGGGGCCACGGAACGCTGCACTGGGTGGGCGAAACGCAGGGAGCAAGGGTTGTGCTCGGTGGTGGCGGACGCATGTGGGCGGTGCCACTGGGACCTTCGGTGAAGCCCCCTATGGGCCACGAAACGCTGCTCTGGGTGGGTGAAACGCAGGGAGCAAGGGCTTTGCTGGGTGGTGGCGGACGCATGCGGACTGCGCCACGGGCACCTTCGGTGGAGCTTCCTATGGGGCCACGAAGCGCTGTACTGGGTGAGGGAGACGCATGCGGACTGCGCCACGGGGAACTTCGGTGGGGCTCCACATGGGGCCACGGAACGCTGTACTGGGTAAGGGAGACGCATGCGGACTGCGCCACGGGGACCTTCGGTGGAGTTCCCTATGCGGCCACGAAGCGTGTGAGGGGTGTACCGAAATGAGTGGCGGGGACGCATGCGGACTGTGCCACTGGGACCTTCGGCGGAGCTCCTATGGGGCCATGCAACGCGTGAGGGGTGTGCCGAAAAGAGTCGCGGGGACGCATGCGGACTGTGCCACGGGGACCGTCGGCAGAGCTCCTATGGGGCCACGAAACGTGTGAGGGGTGGGCCGAAATGAGTGGCGGGCCGAAATTAGTAGCGGGGACGCATGCGGACTGTGCCACTGGGACCTTCGGCGGAGCTCCTATGGGGCCACGAAACGTGTGAGGGGGTGTGCCGAAATGAGTGGCGGGGACGCATGCGGACTGTGCCACTGGGACCTTCGGCGGAGCTCCTATGGGGCCACGAAACGTGTGAGGGGTGTGCCGAAATGGGTGGCGGGGACGCATGCGGACTGTGCCACTGGGACCTTCGGCGGAGCCCCTATGGGGCCACGAAACGTGTGAGGGGTGGGATGAAATGAGCGGCGAGGACGCATGCGGACTGTGCCACTGGGACCGTCGGCAGAGCTCCTATGGGGCCACGAAACGTGTGAGGGGTGGGCCGAAATGAGTGGCGGGGACGCATGCGGACTGTGCCACTGGGACCTTCGGCGGAGCTCCTATGGGGCCACGAAACGTGTAAGGGGTGGGCCGAAATGAGTGGCGGGGACGCATGCGGGCTGTGCCACTGGGACCTTCGGCGGAGCCCCAAATTATGGGGCCACGAAATGCTGTACTGGGCGGGGGAGGCGCATGCAGACTGCGCCACGGGGACCCCTTCTGTGGCGCTCCCCGTGGGGCCACAAAGCGCTGTACTTTGGGGGGGGGAGACGCATGCCAACCGCGCAATTGGGACCTTCGGTGGAGCTCCCTATGGGGCAACGAAACGTGTGATGATGCTGATGATGCTGATGTTGATGTTGATGATGATGAAGATGATGATGAAGATGATGAAGATGAAGATGATGATGATGATGATGATGATGATGATGATGATGATGATGATGATGATGATGATGATGATGATGATGATGATGATGATGATGATGATGATGCTGATGATAATGATGATGATGATGATGATGATGACGACGACGATGATGACGATGATGATGATGAGGAGGAGGAGGAGGAGGAGGAGGAGGGGAGGAGGGAGGAGGAAGGAGGAAACGCGGGGCGCTGTCTCTTCAAAACGAAGACCCAACACCACAGGAAGGTTGGGAAAAAGGGGAGATTGGGGACAGGAGAAGACAACAAAAGATTGAAGAAGTTTCTGTGGAACTCACGTCATCCTGACCCCCCGCCCGCGAGAAGGTCGCCTCCCAGCGCACCCCCAAGGACCATTTTCGGGGATGCACCGGGCGCGCCAGGCGTCCCAATCCGACGCTCTCGCTCGAGAGATCCTCGCAAAAATTGCCCCGCGGGCCCCCGGCGCGCCAGGGGATGCACCGGGCGCGCTGGGAGCGTCGCAGTCTGGCGCTCTCGCTCGAGACATCCTCACAAAAACCGCCCCAAGGGCCCCCAACGGGACCACTTCAAAGTTCTAGGCTGTCGCCCGCCCCCAACGCGCCCCCAAGCACGATTTCTGGGCATGCACCAGGCGCGCCGGGCGCGCCGTGCGCGTCCCACACCGGCGCTCTCGCTCGAGACATCCTTACACAAATCGCCTCAAAGGGCCCTCAACGCACCCCCAGGGGATGCGCGCAGCGCGCGCCGGGTGTGTCGAGACCCGGCGCTCTCGGTCGAACATCCTGAAGAGATTCGCCCCACGGGCCCCCAGCGGCCCGCAGAAGCCATTTCCAGGGACGCCACGGGCGCGCAGGGCGCTCCGGGCGTGTCGCAGTCTTCCGGCCTGGGAAATGCACCGGGCGCGCCGGGCGCATCGGGTTTTCTTGCACTCTGTGTTTAAAATTGCAGTATACGCGGGCTCCACGCGCACCCCCAAGGACAATTTCCGGGGATGCAGCAAGCGCGCCGGGCGTGTTCCAATCCAACGCCGTCGCTCGAGACATCCTCGCACAAATCGCCGCACGGGCTCCCAGTGCGCCCCCAGGGACCATGTCCGGGGACGCCCCCAGCGCGCCAAGCGTGTTTTCCGGGGATGGGCGACGGCGGTGCGGCGTAAGCCATTGAATCATACCCAATCCTGCCTTCGCTGCTGTCTACGCGGTACGGTCTGCGTTCACGAGCCCCCCTTCCTGCGCCGTCGCCCCCTCCGCCGCCAGCCCCTGGCCTCTACCCCGTCGCCCAGCCCATCTTCTCTAGCATATGCCTACCTTTCTTCAACTGAGGGTTGTGCACTTCTCAAGCTTATCCTCGTCCTCTCTTGCTTCTGCTGCTCTAGTCCTCTTTTCCTCTATCCCGTTGCCAGGCTCGTTCGGATCCTGCAGATGCACCGCGGGGTCGAGGGCCATCCATGTCAGCTCCACTGGTACCCCCCAGGCAGGAAATGCTCTTCTCATCTGAGATGTCCTGCAATACTTCAACTGGTTCCTCTCATCCATGGCTGCCAGCGCTCTTGTATCCGCGTCCGCTGCCAACGGCAATCTGGATTCGTATGTCTCTCCGCGGTTCTCTCGTAGAGTCTGGATGCAAAATGGTACCGCTGCAAGGCCTCCCTGGCGGGGCCGCCTTCCAAGCTCGCGCAGCCGTTGCTCCCTGTCCCAATAGGCCCCTGGTCAGAAGTAGCACCGTTCCTTTGGGCCCCTGCCGTTGCTGTGGCACTGGATCCTACGTCTATGCATCTCACTGTGATTGTCTTGATCGCGCGCCCATCAGACCTCCTCTGCTACACTTGCCTTCCTTTCCTTTTTCCGCCGCTTCTCTGACCGCCTTCAACGCCGCATGCGCTGTTGCCAGTTCCTGCGCATCCTTGTGCGCCTCCTCCTCGGCGTCCTTCTCCAGCCTCTCTCTGATATCCCTCCCCTGCCTGAGCCGTTCTCTCCTCTTCTCCCTAAGCTCCTCCGCTGCTGGGTTCTCCTGCTTCCTCCTCGGGAGAGTCTCCCCCGTGGCCTCTCTGCCCGCTCCCCCCCCCCAATTCCCAGGCAGCATTAGGTGTAGGTTCGCCCAGCGCCCCGCCCCACTTCGCCTGGTCCTGCAGTTCCTGGGCGACGTGGTAGGGCGGCCCGCCTCTCCTGTCTCCTTCCCCGAGGCATCGCATAAGCGCCTCCCTGTCGGGGCCTTCGGGACGGGCAGGGGGAGGTCGGAACCTGGTGGACGCCACTGTGGGGAGCACTATGCCTGCTGGGAGGTGGTCCTTAAGACCTTGGCTTCTTATGAACTGCTGTCTTGTTCCCTTACTTCTCAGCGTCAGTCCGCAATCCCAGCGCGTCGTCGCGATAGATAATCCAATATGAACGCAAACCTTCCTAAAAAAAACGCTGTGATTCCCCGCCTTTCCTCCGTAGGGACCCACCGTGTAATTCACGTTGGTACTATCCATCAGCGAGCCTTCTGGGCTCCCATGGAGACCGAGCTGTGTGTTGAGGTCTCCCCCTATTATTGGTGTAGCCGTCACTCCCAGTTCGTCACATTGTTTCTCCACCCAGCTAACCACCCTATTCGCAAGATCCTCGCATCGAGCGTAGTTATGTGGGAGCCAGGTACAAGAGCGCCAAGTCTCCTCCTTCCCAGCGCCCGCTGACTCATGCCACCCTCCCCTGTATACTTGCAGGTGGTGCGTACTTGCGAGAGCAGTCTTAAGAATGCGGCGGCTGATCAAAGCCGTAATACCGCACACTTTTGGTAGCCACATATTATTATTCCCTCCGTTTTGAACACCCAATAATAGCCCGTGGTAACTGTTTAATTGTTGTCTGGTCCTGCTGCCCATGCGTGTGTGTGTGTCCCACTGAGTAGAATAAGATCCCAGTGTCGCAATTCATTGCAAATGTCCTCTGACCTTTCATGTGCGCTTGTCGCGAAAAGGGGTGCAGAAGAGGACTCTCATCAGCGTGGCAGCGCGCGCAGGAGAAGCGTAGCCATCCCCCCTCCCCCTTCCCTGTCCTCGGGGGAGTACCCACTCCTGGGGTTCGGCACGGTGCGCGCTCGGAGAAGGAGGGGTGATCTCCAGGGGCATCCAGGGATCGAGCATCGGGGGCTAGACTTCAGGGGCTTCCTGGGAGGATGTGGAAAAAAAGTGGAGGATGCAAGCCTGGGAGTTGGGAGCGGGAGCGGCTGGAGGCGTGAACGTTCAGGGTCATGGGCTGAGGCCATACGAGTAGAAGGGCAGCGTTACAGCTAGATTTCACAATGGCTTGCGTTTCGCAGTGCATTGAGGACACCTGCATTCCGCCTCAGATTTTACAGTATGCGTCCACCCGGCCCCCTCCCCAACACCCGACTCGCCCGCAAACGCAAGCTCCTTCATTCAGATACGGAAATTCCCGATCAACCGCGTGCGGCTGGCTAGTAAGAGAGGAGCGAAGAACGGAGACAGGGAGGAAAAGAGGAACGAGGAGGAAGATGGGACCGGGGAAAGGAGGGGAGGCCCAGGACCGTTTTGCCGTCGCGGGTCGTTGTTTGATGGCCTCGGCCCCTGGAAACGGCCCCTGGACGCGGCAATTGTCAACAAAAAAAAATGCCATTGTGTTTTTTTTTTCGCGACGCCTGGAGGCTTGGGGGGTCGGCCCATCCATTGTTGGGCTCACAACCAATCCCTTGTCTTCTCTCCAGGACACCCTCCTGGCAATACTCGACCTGCGCGTGGTAAAAACCCTACGAGGGGTCCCATGGGGCCAAGAAGCGGCAACAAAAACGCCATGTCGAAAAACGACCCGTGTACAATAGAATTTTCGGAGGTCCGCGCGGATTTCTCGGAACGGCGCCAAGGCTCCCAGGCGGCGCCTCTTGCAACGCCCCTGGCGCGCGCGCCAGGGCATGGGGGTCCAGCGCCGACCCAAGAAATCAATGCGGACCTCCGAAAAATCAGCTTTGCCCAAATCCCCGCAATTGCGGATAAGAGTGGGGCGCCTGGGCTGCCTTACAGTGTTTGTTGGGCGCGAGCGCCAGTGTGAGCAATTCCGCCGCAGACACCTAATTTGCCGAAGCAGTCATCCCGTCGCAAGAGCTCATCTGTTGTCTCAACACAGCCAGCCTGCCGCAGGCACCAATGTTTCAATTTAGTGTTGATTGGCCGCGGGCGTGAGTCACGGGCATGGGTCGCGGGTTGGTAGTACTCGGGTCGCATCCTGGGGCTGGCCCACCCCTCCCGCGAGCCGCACTCGGCGGAGCCTGCGCTCTCTGTTCCTGACGGCGGCCGTGGACGGTTCTGGCCGACCCGCCCCGTCCTGCCAGAGGTCCACAGCGCTCAAGCCATCGCGACTCCCTCGCCGACCGACCGCGACTGGTGCAACCGTGCCCCTTGAGCATGCTACCTGGGGATCGTGCCCCTCGCATCGACGACAGCTCGAGAGGGGCGTCGAAGCCGATGGGCCCCCCCCCAGGAGGGTACGGTCCTGAACTGTTGCTCGGCGTGTCGCGGCGGCGGCCCCTGCGACACGCGATATGCCCCTGCCTTTGTGGGGCGGGAGGCACAGGGGAAAGGCTCGGGACGTGGGCACCGGGCGCACGGACGCGGCCGGCGCGTCGCGCCGAAGCGTGGTGGGCCAGACACGGCGGCGCGACACGCCAAGCCAAAGTTCCTGGCCGTGAGGACCACGGTTCCCCCCAGTTGCAGGCTGGTCCGCCTCGCGTGCGCGGCGGCCACGTAGAGGGTGACGCAGGCCAACTCCTTTGGAGTGGCGAGACACGCCATGCACTTCGGCCACCAGTCGGTGGGCAGCAGCACCTCCTTGACAACCCCGCATGACCCTTCGAGGCATGGTGGGACGGCTACCGTGTCGGACGAGAAGGGGGGATGGCAAAGAGGGGGTTTTGGCGAACCAGCTCGCGCAGCTGATTTCCCTGTCGCCCAGAATGCGCCCAGCGGCGGGGCCGAAAGCAGCAGATTTCGGACCCCCCACTTTCCCTATCCCCCCCCTTTCGTCGGACTCGACGCTAGCAGGAGTAACAGAAGAACCGCCACTTGGAGAACAGGCCGAACACGTAGATGGTGGGATGCAACTAAATCTTACAGCACCCCTCTGGGGGCGCAAGGCTGGTAAAAAGGCTGCTGACCTGCTAGCCTGTATGTTTACATGATGATTGTCTTGGTTGCCTCTTGTCTTCATGCTACTCTCTACTAGGGGGCCACGCGGCGCTAAACAGAAGCAGCCGGGGAGGGTGTGCCTCAGCCTCGGGCTCGCTCTAGGTTGCCCCATGATGCCTTCAAGGGCTCCATCAGGATGGCCAAGAGAAACTAAAAGGCCTGCAAGACTGCCCCAAAAGGCCCCCAAAAAAGGGCCTGAAGAATCCAAGGCGACCGTGATACCCCCACGCCATCTCCGAAAGAGCGTGTTCTGCCGCTGCTGGCAGAAAACCAAAACGGGGTCACTGGGGATTTCCAACCCGCCCCCCCCCGCCTCAACCCTCCCATCCCCCCCCCCTCGCAAACCGGGGATGGTCACTGGGGGTTCCACCCCCCCCGGGTCCATCATGAAAGGGGAGGGGGGTCAGTAGAACCCGCCGTTCGTGCGATTACAACCTGATGTTTTTGTTGGTGTGTTTACCTACATGCATTCTGTGTTGCACATCTCACATCTTGCAAGTGTAGATTTGCCACTGCTTTGTCACTGAGATCTCCATAACCAAAATCAACTTGAAAGTCCCCACAATCGGATTCAGTTTGCAAATCCCCACAGATGAAATCAACATCCATTTACACATGAATGTTGCATGTAATGAATTTCCAAAGGCTGCGCCGTGGGGCCGCGGAAACTCACCAGGACAACATATTCAAACAACTGTGGGCAAATCTGTACTTTCACATGGAAAAAGGTGGAGAAAAGAACGAGGAAGACCTGTGACTGCTGCTGCTTTTTTGTTGCAGATGATCTGCACTTGAAAATCTTGTGCAGCGGCCTTTACAAAAGGACTCTTTATGTGGCGACCTTACCACAGGATTTTACGTGTGGAGGGTATGCAGTAACCTCCACAACGAGAATCCTTGTGTAGCAGCCTGTACACATGAATTCCTAGTGTGGCGGCCTTACAAAAGGGATGTACGGTGTGTGGGATCAATACTATTCCATACAACTAAAAACAGTTTGAAAAAAGGCCCACAATCAAACTCAATGTGCAAATCCGCACAATCAACATTTATTTGAAAACCCCCACAAACAAATTCAGTTTGCAATTTTCCTCACATGAATTCAACTTGTAACCCATTTACACATTGATTTGGGTTATAATGGATTTCCAGAGGCGGCGCCGTGGCCGCAGAAACTTACCGTGTGAACAGCCCCAAACAAAAAACAAGTAGAAAACAAACTTGTGTTTTCACATGGCAAAACCGGAATACAAAAAAAGCTAAGGGGAAACCTGCGAGTGTTAGTATTTTATGTGGTGCACAACTAAAAACGCTGACAGTCACAGTTGTTCCTCAATTATTATTATCTTTCCTCGTGTAAATTAATAAGTGCTTTGTCGTGTTTTTCATGTTCTTTTTATGTCCTGTTCAACTTCCGCGGGCCCACGGCTCCGTTTCTGGAAATCCCTTACAATCAAAATCAAATCATACATGGATTACACATTGATTTCCTCTGTGGGGATTTACACATTGAATTTGAGTGTGTGGATTTTCAAATTGATTTTGATTGTACGGCTTTCACATTGAATTTGATTGCGTGGCTTTTCCTTGTTTTACAATTTAGTGAATCAAAGTGGCGGAGCCACGGGCCTGCAGAAGCTTACCAGGAAAAGGAGGGAAACTGGAAAAACATGATGAAGCCCGTGGTTTCACCTGGAAAAAAAAAACTTACATAAAACTATGACTGTCAGCGTTTTCATTGGCGCAACAAGTAAAAAAACAGTAGCGGTCACAGGTTTTCCCTCATTTGTCTTAATTGTTATTGTTTTCCCTGGTGAAAAACAAAAGCCTTGTCCCTGTTTCTACTATTTTTCATGTGTTCCCGGTAGGTTTCAGGGGCCCCCTGGCGCCGCCTCTGGAAATCCATTACAATCAAAATCAACTTGCAAATGGATTACATGTTGAATGCATTTGTGGGAATTTACACATTGAATTTGTCTGTGGGGATTTCCACATTTAGTTTGATTTATGGATTTGCAAATTGAATTTGATTGTGTGCCTTTTCAATTTGTTTTTACTTGTATGGAATTGTATTGATCCCTCACAATTAGAACCGTTTTGTCAGGCCACCACACAAGGAATTCCTTTGTACAGGCTGCTATAAAAGATCTCTAATTGTGGAGGCCACTGCATACCCTCCACACTTAAAACCAGTTTGCAAGGTCGCCACATAAGGAATCCTTTTGTAAAGGCCGCTGCACAAGGACTTCAGTGTCGATCATCAGTATTATGAAAACGCTGACAATCACAGTTTGAAATTACTTTTTTTCTATTTTCCTTGTGACAACACGGCACCGCCACTAGGATTCATTACACTTGAAACAATTTGAAAAACCACGCAA